CCCCCCCCCACTGGGGGGATACTGGCCATGGGGGAAACGCTCCCGGCCCTCAGCCCACCTTGGTGAGACCGACTGGGGGCAGCCCTGGGCTCTGGGGGGGGGCTGACCCAGGCTGTGCTGGGGTCCCGGTGCCCAGGGGGATGGGCTGTTTTGCAGGGGGTTGTAGGTGGGAGCCTCAAGCCACGGCGAGGCTCGGCATCAGGGCACGACTAATTTAACATAGGGGAGATTTTTATTATTATTATTAATAACAGTTTGTAACTTGGACGGGGAGCTCGGGGAGGGTGGTTTCTCTTCATCACCCCATGCGGGGGCAGCAGCCCTGCACCCCCCCCACCCCAAAAAACCTCTTGCTGCTCCCAGTGGTGCCCCCTGCCTTTTAGGGGGGACGCGGGAGTGGTGGTGGGGGTCACCCCAAGTGCTGGGGCACATCCTGGGGGCACCCACTTTTGCCCCCCCACCCCCCATTTGATGGGGAGCCTTGGGGGGGGCTTTGGCAATAGCTGCTCTCTCCGCCTTCCCAGTGCACCCAGCAGCGGGGGACCCCAGGGGAGGTTGCGGGGTCCCCCCTCCCCGGCGTGGGCTGCCCTTGGGGAGCCAAAGCATTCACTGAATGAGTAACGGAGGCCCCCTCCGGGCTCGGCCTGAGATTTGGGGCAAAAAACCAGCTTAATGGGGCCGGGGTGGGTCCCCAAGTCCGGCGGCCAGGGGCAGGGCGAGCCGCGGGGTGAAACACCAAGGGGAAACCAGACTCAGGGCGGCCGGCGGTGGCCGTGGCTCGTCCCCACAGGACCTTCCAGCCCCCATGCACCAACCCTCCCGTATCACTCCCTAGCCGCCCCCTGAGCCCTTGGGATGGTGATGGACATGGTGGCACCAGAAGCAGGATGGAGTGCAGGTGGCCAGGGCCACCCCAGGGCAGTGGGGAGGGGACCCCGAGGAGCCGTGGCCACCCTGAGCAGGGTCATTCCCCTGTGGGATTGCCAGGAGAGCCGTATGGATGACAGCAACGCAGCAGGGGGGATTTGGGCCAGGGGGGAACCCAGCAAGGGACATGCGTGTGGTCCCCTGCCCCATCCCATCCCACTGTGGGCATCCCATGGGATGCTGGATACTCACGGGTGTGCGAGTAGATGTACCAGAGCCCGGCGGTGAGGAGCGCCCCGATGAGGAAGGCACCAAAGGTGATGCCCAGGACGGCGGCCAGCCCCAGCCCGCGGTCTGCAGGAGGACAAGGCCGTCAGCACCGCCATGCTGGGGGTGTCCCGTTTCCACCCCCACCCTTTGCTCCCCCCCTCCCCTGCCCCAAACTCACTGTTGGGTGGCCGCCAGCTGTCCTTCACCGTCACCTCCAGGACCTTCTCGAAGATGGTGTTGTTCTGCAGAGGTGGAGGTTGGGGTGAGAGGGGGGAAAGCCCCTGTCCCCTCCCGCACCCCCAGTGGGGGACAGGGCTGGGAGCCCCCAGGGTCTTTGGGGTCTGGGGATGCTGGTCCCAGCTGGGTGATGGAGGACCAGCGGTTGGGGACAAACCCACCAGGCTGCCACCACCGATGGTGGGGACCAGCATGGTGGCATCATGGTGGAGGGGGGGGTTACTCATGCTGACCTGCAAGCCGGCCTTGCACTTGAGGGTGGCAGAGAAGGGGACGCGGCCGCCCTCGGGGACAGCGTAGGTGAAGCGGAAGCGCCAGACCTTCCTCCCGCGGCCCGTTGGGGGGCCCTCCAGCACGGCCACCCCCGCGCCGCGCGCCTCTCCGCCCTGCACCTCCCCCCCCCCGGCGCCCCCAGCCAGCGCTCCTTCAGCTGCAGGTCAGCCGGGTGGTCCTCCCACCGCATGGATGCCTGCCACGGGGACAGGGGGGTATGCCATCAGGGATGCTGGCCCAGGGACAGCTGGACCCCCCCTTCCTGGGCACTGAGCCGGTGGTGGTACCTGCACGAAGGCCTCCTTATTGACCTCCAGCTCCATCTGCGGCGCCTCGAAGGCAGCAGTGGGGAAGAGGCGCAGGAAGAGCTCCCGTGGGATCTTGCACTGAAAGGCCACCTGCAAGCGGGGACGGTGCTCAGCCCCCTCCCCGCTTCCCGGTGCCCAGCCATCTAGTGGCACTGGCACCCTTCTCCCATGGTCCCATCCTGGACCCAGTGGGAAACCAGGTTCTTACCCGCACACTCCGGAGCGCTGCGCCCTTGGCCAGGTTGAGGATGAGCTATGAGAAAGTGGGGAAGGTTGAGTCAGCCAAGTGGTCCCCACTGCTGGGGGTCTATTGTCCCCACTGGGATGGGATGGGATGGGATGGGATGGGATGGGATGGGATGGGATGGGATGGAGCGGTCCCACTCCGGGATGGGATAGGGGACAATGTGCCACCTGGGGGGAAGGTCCCACCCCCATCTCCACCAGCACCCAGTTGCAGCGGTAGGGCTCAGCTCTGGGCTGCAGCGGGATGTTTCCAGTCATGCAAAAGTGAGGAGGTCCCAGTGGAGAAGCCCCCAGTGGGGCTGGGGGCAGCACCCCAGCCAGCCCCCCCTCTCACCTCATTGTTGGCGTGGCCCTTGCCCTCCAGCGAGGTCCCGCAGTGGCTGAGGGGGGTTTTCAGCATGAAGTGAGTGGCGTTTTTCTCTGCCTGGCAGCTGATGTCCCGCAGGGTGATGTTCACCACATCCTTGATGGGCTGGGAGAAAAGTACCCGGTGGTCACGCACCAGCTGGGGACAGCCCTGTGCCACCCACCCCAAGCACGCAGAGCAGGATGCCACCTCCCCTGGGTGATGCTGGCAGGTATTGGGATTCCCCCCCAGCCCCCTCCTCACCTCCAGGTGGGACCTGGCGATGACAATCTCCATGGTTTCATCTGTGCACTTCCAGGGCTGGAGCATGAGCAGCAGCACGTTGGGCAGCGAGTCGGCAGTGGGGACTGGGGGGTTCGTTGTTGCAGGCGCCCTCCTGACTGCCTCTGCGGGATGGGGAGATGGGGAGGCTTAGTGGGGGCAGCGGGACCTCCCCCCCCGCCCCATCTTGCCCAGCCCTGGGGGCCTCACCATGCTCATGGATCTCCAGGCTGACACGGGCACTGGTGGGGATGGTGGAGTAGGAGGCGATGACGCTGTAGTTCTTCTCGAAGGCTTTGGCGATGAGACCCCTCTCCGTGTCGGGCAGGAGCTTCCCGGGGAGCAGCAGCGAGGAGATGGGTGCGATCTTGTAGTTCCCAGAGACCTACGGGGGGGTGGGGGAACAGAGAGGGGGTGGATGAGCGGGTAACAGGTTCTGGAGGGGATGCTCAATGTAGGGACGTCTTCTGGGTTCGTCCCCATTAGGAGGGCTTGCAGTGAGGGGGCTGCCACCTCCCCATGCCCAATGTCCCCAGGTGCCCTCCTGCCACC